GATGGATGATGGATGGATGGATGATGGATGATGGATGGATATTCCAGGCCGGGAATGCCCTCCGTACCTGTGGCCAGGTAGAGGACGTTGTGGCGCTGCCCGTCACCCGCAGCGACCTCGTGCACGCCGATCCTCTGGTAGCGGTGTTTGTTGTGGAACAGGGGGCTCCTGGAGGGGGACAGCGGCTCCACACGCTCCTCCACCTCGGGGTGGCTGTCGGCAATCTTGAAGGTCTCGCTCGGCGTGTGCTGCCCGGAGGGGACGCACTGCGGCCGGAGGGGACGGGAAACAGGGACCAAAGGCGCCGTCAGAGGCCATAAAAATTTGAATTAAAATGGCAACAGGGTAAAACAGGGAGAGGGGGAAACCGAACCACGCCTGAGGGCTGCCAGGCTGTTCGTGGGATGTTCCCTGCCGTGGGAACAGCGGCTGAGGATGCTCGGAGAAGCCCAGGGATGCCCGCCATGGTAGGGCTGCCTCTGAGATCCTCTCTTCCCGCCCTTCCCGCAAGGGGATCGAGCCTCAACCATCACCCCACATTCCCAGGGCTCAGTTCACTCCGTGCCCCCTTCCCGGGGTCCCCCCGGAACCTCCAGCAGGGTCCCTCCCTCACCTGGCCAGGTTTGACCTCCGGGGTGGGGCCGTTGTAGCCTTTGAGCCGCGAGGTCTGGAAGACGTTGTCGATGTCCCCGAAGGAGTAGACGCAGACAGCAGAGCTTCCCCTGAGGGGATAACGAGCAGGTCAGGGGGACACCGGCCACCCCCTGGCTGTGGCCCTTGTTCCAGCAGTGTTCCAGAGGGAAAAGAGTCCTGGGAGGAAAGAATTGGGCCGGGGCTCCTCACCAGGTGTTGGTGAAGAGCCCATAGACCTTGGAGCGCCGCCAGTCGTCCGCGGGGACAAAGAAGACGTCCTGCAGCCAGTTGAAGTTGCCCTTGGTGACGGGGTCCACGCAGATCAGGGTGGCCTTGAGGAACGTGGTCCACTTGGAGGCTGAGAGGGAGCTGGTTCCTCCCTTGTCCTCCTGGGGGACAGCGACAGCCGGGTCAGGGCGTGGGGGGGACACCCCAAAACCCCCGTCCTGATGGGGAACACCGGGAACAATCCCAGCGAGGCCCAAGGATGTGACTGTGCCCCGTTCAGAGGGGCCAAACCAAGGCTGGGTAAGGCCAGGTGAGGTCCCTGTCACCCCCGGAGCTGTCCTGGCTGCCACCCTGCCCCGTCCCCGGGGTACCTTGCACAGCTGGGCCACCCGCGAGATGTTCCGGGGCGCCTCGGGGCTCTTGTCCGGGTTGTCCTCGCGGAAGAAGTAATAAATCTTGTCCTGGTGAGGCTCCTCGTGCCTCAGTGTGGTGGCCTTGACAAACTGCGGGTCTGGGGAGGGAAGGGACAGAACTCGGAGCTGATTTCATCCGGGACACGGCTGTGCCCGTGGGAAAGGACAGCTCCGAGCCCAGGCTGCCCCTGCCACCTTCCCAGTGCCCCCTGCCTGACTCCACACACTCATTCCCTGCAGGGAACGACTCCCTGGAGCCTGGGGAAGCCTCGGCAGCCACGGAAACCCGAGTGTCTCCTGGCTCTGGGAGCTGCCATGGGAAGGAAGGATCCCTCAGGAGGAGCAATCCGTGTTGGGAAATCCCCGCTCCTATTAACGCACCCCTGCCATGACGGGCATCCCTGGACCTCTCCGAGCATCCTCAGCTGCTGTTCCCATGGCAGGGAATGTCCCAGGATCAACCTGGCAGCCCTCAGGCATGGTTCGGTTTCCCCCCTCTCCCTGTTTTACCCCGGGGCCGTTTTAATTCCGCTTTTTATCCCGATAATCCCCCATTTCCCGCCTGGGGAAGCCACCGCAAGCCCAGGGAAGCGCAGCAGGGTCCTTTCCCCGTGTCCCCACGCTGTCCCTGCCCAGCCCAGTGTGCCCCTGCCCCAGCTTTCACCCTGGCTGGGGTTTGCCCGCAGCCCCTGCCCGCACTGGAAGTTGCCCAAGGCCACGGGGCAGCTGCCGGGCATTTTGCACAACCCAATTTCCCGCCAGCCCGCAGGAGGAGAGACTCGCCAGCCTCGTTTCCCCACGCCCCAAGGACGGGGAAGTGAGTTCGGGCTTGGTTTGGGACGGAAGTGAAGCGGTGACGGGGTGCAGACAGCTGGCTCCCTCCTGCCTGCAGCTCGGGGATCAGCCCCCACAGGCAGCTCCGGAGCTTCTCCTGCCCCCTGGGAGCCGTGGGGCGGCAGAGTCCAGCCGGGAATGTCCCCCCTCCCGCTGGGAATGTCCCGCACTGACTCTGCATCACCGTGTCGCTGGTGTAGAGCTCTCCTCCTCCCCTGACGCGCCGGAATCGAGGGATTTTCCCGTTCTGCTGGCTCTTCTTGATGGTGGAGTAGATGTCCTGGCCTGTGGGACGGCAGGGATTGGGGAGAGGAGGAGCGGAAGCAGCCGGGACACCCTCGGCATCACAGGGATATGGAACGGGAATGCCGATCCTGCTGTCCAACCCTTGAGGGGTGGCAGGGACAGGTTCCTGGGAAGGATCCTCACCTGTCCCCCCAACAGCCCTGGAGCAGTGGGATCACTGCAGGCCCCTCCTTCCCATGTCCCTCCCGACCCAAAGTGCTCCTGATTCCCGACGTTCTTCCCCCACGGAGCCCCCATCCCACACCCCGGTGGGAATCCCCAACCTCTGTCCCAAAGGCATGTGCATTCCCATGGGGACAAAATGAGTAGAGCCAAAGCCACCCAGAGCAGGGGACAAAGCCCCCGGAGCAGCCTCAGCGGGCTCCTGATTCTCCCAGGGAAGGTTTGAGCACAACAAAACCACTGGGAAAACAACTCTCTTACCATCGACAACAACGAGGGTGTTGGAGTCGGGGGTAAACGGAGCGATCCCTCTCCCATCCCAGGGCGGGCTCTCTTTCCTCTGCGTCTGGGGAAGGGCAGGAAAGGATCCTGAGTGGGATCAGGCCAGGTTTTCCCCGCCCAGGATGGGGGAAGGATCCGTACCACATTCCAGCAGGTGGGAGCGCAGGCGCCGGTCCCGCACACCAAGAGCCCGTCCCCGTACTGCTCCACCAGGGTCAGGTAATTCCGGCTGTCCTCCTGCCGGGGGAGAGAGGAGCCTGGGAATGGCACAGGGCCCCCAGACCCACACAGCTTCCCAGATTTTCCCTGGATTTTCCCAGTTCTCCTCAGGCAGAGGGAGCTCATGACGAGCACACGCAGCTCCTTCCACCCAAATTCTTCAGCCCTCCCCATCCCACTCTTCCCTCTTTCTACCCAAATCCTCCCCATCCCACTGTTCCCTCCTCCACCCCAAATCCTCCCCATCCCACTGAACCCAAATCCTCCCCATCCCACTGTTCCCTCCTCCACCCCAAATCCTCCCCGTCCCACTATTCCCTCCTCCACCCCAAACCCTCCCCATCCCGCTGTTCCCTCACAGGTGGCACCTACCAAATTCCCAGACGTCACGCACTGGCCTTCATTTTTCACCGGGAACTCTTCCTAGGATAAAAGACATGGAAACGCCTCCTCTCCATTCCTGCCCTCTCAAGGCCAGCACGCGTGGGCTTGGTACGAGGCCACCAAACCCCTCTAGGTGTCCTTGTCCCACACCCCTGGTGCCTGAAACCCCTCGGGAAGGCCGGGCTGGATCCCAGGGATGGAATCCGAGCCAGGATGGCTGCTGAAAACACCCTCCCTGTGGGGCAGCGAGGACCTCGGGGGGGATGGCACCCAGGGAAGGACCCAACGTGGGAGATTTCTCCCCGCTGCAGCCGTTCCTTCCCGGTGGGATTTTGCTTCCTGGCGGGATGGAGCCGGCTGGGCCCGGAATGTGGGCTAGGATGTGGATCCCAGATATTTTTTATGGGGTTTTGAGACCAAACCCAGCAGCAGAGCCTCCTCACCGTGTAGTTCTCACGGGTCGCAAAGTCGTAGTAGTAGAGCCTCCCCTCACCCCCAACGTAGATGGAGGAGGTGTTTTCCTGGTGGAAGAACACCGGGAATCTCTCCGTCCGTGGGAACACATATTCCTTGGCACCTGGGAATGGCACACGCCTCAGGGAGCTGCTGTGGGGGCACCCCCCGATCCCCAAACTTCCCGTGCCCCTGGGAAAAACCCCGGAGGAAAACACAGGGCTGGGGCCCCCCAGGAGGGCCAGGAAAGGGGACAGGCGGCTCCCGGGCTCCTGCTGTTGTCCCCTGGGCCCCTGGGAATGGGAGAGCTCCACAGGGAAGGGAGGAAGCAGGGCTTGGATCCCCGGGAAGATGGACAGGGTTTGGATCCCCAGGAACGATCAACAGGATTTGAATCCCAGGAGGATGGGCAGGGTTTGGATCCCAGGAGGACAGACAAGATTTGGATCCTCAGGAGGGATGGACAGGGTTTAGATCCCAGGAGGATAGGCAGGGTTTGGATCCCAGGAAGATGGACAGGGTTCAGATCCCAGGAAGGATGGACAGGATTTGGATTCCAGGAAGGATGGACAAGATTTGGATCCCAGGAAGGATGGGCAGGATTTGGATCCCAGGAAGGATGGGCAGGATTTGGATCCCAGGAAGGATGGGCAGGATTTGGATCCCAGGAAGGATGGACAGGGTTCAGATCCCAGGAGGATGGACAGGGTTCAGATCCCAGGAGGATGGACAGGGTTCAGATCCCAGGAGGACGGACAGGGTTCAGATCCCAGGAGGACGGACAGGGTTCAGATCCCAGGAGGACGGACAGGGTTCAGATCCCAGGAGGACGGACAGGGTTCGGATCCCAGGAGGACGGACAGGGTTCGGATGCCAGGAGGACGGACAGGGTTCGGATGCCAGTCCAGAGCCCAGGTCTGACAGAAGAAAGGTTCACCCCAAGCCACAATCCCTGGGCTCCATATCCCAGCCAGGAGTGGCAGGCAGCCCTCCACTGGCAGCAGAGCCGCCCCTCTGCCCCTCCTCTTCCACATCCCGGCTTTTCCAGCTCCCCTTCCCCACAGACCCCCTCGGTCCCCACTGCGTGCCTGGGGGAGTGATCCACAGGGATCACTCCAAGGATCAGGGCTGCCCTCTGCCCAGGCACTCCGAGCTCGGCATTCCCGCTTTTCCCTTTCCCAAAGAGAGCAGCCTCTGCCCTGGCCAGCTCTCCCAGCGCTCAGCCAAAGGCCGGGAGCGCCTCTGGAGCTGGCAGCGGCACTGCCGGGCAATTAATTAATCAGCGGCACGTGGCTGACTCCATTTATAGGGCTGGCACTTGGCACTGCCTCTGCCCCGAGCCAGCAGGGAAGCGGCACCTCAGAGGTCACCGAATTCCCGCTGGGTTTGTGGGGCTGTTCCTGCCTCCCCAGGCTCCCTCATCCCGTAAAACAAGCAGAGTTTTCCCATCAGGGCTTGGGGAAGCTGCCAGAACCCCCAGTTCCAATTAGGAAGGGGACACAATGAGGGGACAGCTTCCCCCGGGAGCCTCAACCCCGCTGATCCCATCCCTGCCTGCCCCCCGCGCCCTGCCCAGCCTCCCCTGTGTCCAAGGGCTCCGAGAAATGGAGCTGCAGAATCTGGCACAGAAACTTCCAGGCTGGTTCTGCAGCCAGGCTCGGGCTCAGCCTGCCCAGGAGAGGAGGGATCCCTTTCCCAGCCTCTCCCTTCCCAAAATCCCCACTCCTGGGGATCCCCTAAAGTGCCGTGACCCCATCACCAGCGGGCCTCGAGCCACTCTGCCCAGACCCCGTTTGAAACCTCCAGCCCCTAAAGTGCTGCTAATCCAGGCAAATCTCCAAACTCAGCTCCTCTTCCTCTTCCACACCTCTCTCCTGCTGCCCCGGGGCTCCTCTGGGGCTCTTGCTGAGTTCCCTGAGCTGAGAGCCGAAAACAAACCAGCTCCAAACAATCATTGGCCGGCGCTGAGGTTTGTTGTTTATCCTGCAGCTCCCCAGGGATTCACGGGAGAGAGGAAACAGCTCTGCCAGCCTGGGCTCCCCGCGCTGGCAACGGAGCCTCCAAACGCTTCCAGGAGCGGCTGCTGGGGTCCCTCTGCCTCTGCAGAGCTGCTGCCGGGTCCTGCCTCATCCCCTTTCCCCCTGGTGGGACTGGGGGGAGCAATCCCGCACCTCAAACCGCGGCGCCGGGGTTTGAACGCCACCGGCAGATGAGGATGAGGAGGCAAAGGGCATCTCACAGCGCCATAAAATCATGGAATTGCTGGGACTGGAAGAGAGCCTAAAGCTCATTCCATCCCACCTCCCGCTGTCCCAGGGTGTCCAGCCTGGGATCACTTCCAGGGATCCAGGGCCACATCCCGTTGTGTCCCCAAAGAACGGGACATCTCTCCCGGCAAACCCCAAACTGCTTTTGGCACTGGAAAGAAAGGCTCGTGCCCTTGGAAGGTTTGACCCTGCCGTCACCCCTGCTCCCAAATCCAGCCCCGCAGCTCCGGGGGACACAGGGCTCATTCCCAGAGCCTGGCTGACCCCGCCGAGCCCCTGCGCCCAGCGTTTGCCGCTGGAGCGGGAATCAATGGCACCACTGTCCCTGGAAATGTCCCCGCTCCGGCGGCCGGAACGGGAGAAAGGGCGGCTTTGTGCTCCATGCCAGAGGGGAGGGGAGCAGGAACATCAAACCCAGGAGAGAGGCGCGTCTCGGAAAGGACGCCTGGGGCTGAGGGAACCGGGAGATGCTCCGGGTGCCATGGAGAGAAGGGAGCAATCCCACTTTCCATTGGGCCGTGGTGACAGAGCCAATGGCTCCCTGTGGGCCCAAGAGCCCCTTGAGAAGCACTGGAGCATCCTGGAGTATCCTGGAGCATCCTGGACCATCCCAGATCATCCCAGAACACCCTGGAGCATCCCAGAGTATCCTGGAGCATCCCAGAGCCGGCTGTTCCCACCTCCGGAGCAGAGGGGCAGCGTGGGCTGCAGCCTCTCCTGGCAAACTCCATCACCCAGCCCGGCTGGGGCTGAGTCAGCACCGCCTTCCCTCTCCTCGCTCCAGCATTCCCGGCTGGCAGCGGCTCCCGCAGCCCAGACGCTCCTGAGTCATCAGCTCACACCGGGAATTCTGCGGGAATGCTGCTGCTGGGGCAGCCCGGGCTGGAGGCCATGGTTCCGATGGGTTAAAAGCAGGAATTGAAATAAAGCTCGGGACAAATGTAAGCAGAGGGGTGGGAGCAGGACCTGCTGGGTGTTGGGAACTGGGGAGGGCACGAGGCAGATCCTTCATTTTCTCCGCCCATAAATTCCTTCCAAATGGGAATTACCTTGGAATATGAGGTGGGAGAGCAGGGTAGGCAGTCTGCCTGCTCCCTGGAATTGCTCTCTCCAGGAATTGCCCATCCCAGGAATTTCCCTGGCCCTGGAATTTCCCTCCCCTGGAATTGCCCATCCCAGGAATTGCCCACTCTGGAATTGCCCTGTCCAGGAATTGCCCTGTCCCTGGAATTGCCCTCCCCTGGAATTGCCCACCCCAGGAATTGCCCATCCCAGGAATTGCCCTGTCCCAGGAATTACCCACCCCAGGAATTGCCCACCCCAGGAATTGCCCTCCCCAGGAATTGCCCATCCCTGGAATTGCCCACTCTGGAATTGCCCTCTCCAGGAATTGCCCTGTCCCTGGAATTGCCCACCCCAGGAATTTCCCATCCCCAGGAATTGCCCTCCCCAGGAATTGCCCATCCCTGGAATTTCCCATCCCCAGGAATTGTCCACCCCAGGAATTGCCCATCCTAGGAGCTCCCCCTCCCTGGAACTCCTATGTGCCCCCTCGGCTGAGCTGTGCCATGCCGAGCTCTCCCGCGGCTGCAGCAGGCCAGAGACGCGCTGCCAGCCCATGGAAAACCGGGATTTGCCAGGCGGCTGTGCCAGCGATGCCCCAGGAATTGTCACTCGCGGTGGCCCCGATGGCAAACATCCAAACATTCCCCAGCCTGGATTCCTTTCCACCACAGATTCCAGCATGGGCTGGGGGTGGAGGAAAAGCTGATTTAAGGACTGGGAATTCAGGAGTGCCCCCGGATGTGCCCTCATCCCGGCTCTGAGTCAGGGCAAGGCTCTCCGCACCAATCCGGCTGCGGGAGATCAGCCGGGATGCGGTGACACCCATCCCTGTCACCCGGGAACGCTGATGCTTCTTCCTGAGTCACTCAGGACTCCACATCCCAAAACTCTGGAGTTCTGCTGTTCCCTCGGGCCAGGCCGGGAGGACAATCCCTGGATTTTCCAGCTGCAGCCCCCCAGAGCAGGGCTGGATTCACCGCACCGCTCCCACCCCCAGAGCTCCGCCACGGATGCCAGTGAGAAGCCAAGCTGCAATTTTCCTCTTTTTTTTTTAGTCAATCTATAAATTCCCAAATTGAGGCATTTCAGGAAGAGGAAATATGTCTCCAAGGAGCTGCTGTGCTAAGTTTTTCCTTCCAGCGTGACTTTGCTCAAAGGGAACAAAGTGACATGAGGGAACAGCGTGACACAGCGGGAACAGGACATCCCTTCCCATGGGATGGACACCTCAGGGACAGAGCCTGCAGCAGCGGGGGTTTTTATGGGAATAATCTGCAAATGAGGTGTTCAGGGAGCAACTTTTGGGGCAGGTTTGCTCAGCCCTGCCATGGAATAATTGACAGTTTGTGGTTGCGAGGCCCCAGCCCCTCGTGAGAAGTGACACATTTCACATTTTCTGAACGCGTTTCCGAGAAGGAGGTGAAAGGAGAAACGCAAGAGGCGACGAGAGCGTGGGGGCCACTTCCTCCCCCCTGTTGCCTCCTGTGCCCGGCCTCTGTGCCCCAGCAGCAGGGTCCCTGTCCCCGGGGGTCCCTGGGAACCCCTCTGGAGAAGGAGAGCCTGGAAGGGTTGAGGGATCAGCCCAGGGCAGCCCCACCATGTTTGGGGTGGTCCTGTCACCTGAGCCGAGCCATTTCTCAAGGGAAGCAGAAGGAACAGAGCAGAAGTGACGCCTCCAGGTTTCTGTCCCATCCCCCCAGGAGCTTCCTCTGGGTCCAAATCCCATCCTGGACCGGCTTTCACTCCCTCCACCTTCTCCTCCTGCTCATCTTGGAGCTGACTGGAGCGCTTG